CGGGCTCGCGTCACGTCAGTCCCCTGCACCTGACCCCACCTCCGATCTTCCCAGCCCTGTCTTGACACGCCGAGCCCAGGAGGACGGTAGATGCAGCGCAAGTGTGCTACCCCTAAAAACTAATTCACTTGCAAGTCATCTTTGTGTCCACCTTGCTGTGGCGCACTCTACGGACATTATTGGAAACGACAGCCGAACCGTCCTTTGTATCTGAGGGTTACTGACGGAGCTTTTACCTTACAAATCTCAGTGAAGACAGCTTGAAACAAAGTCTGTATTGTCAACGGTCTTTGTTAGCGAACTGCAGACAATCGGTGAGATCGCACAACAGGAATCATCGCCTTTATCAGTGGTTTCTTGGGGCCGTGAAGAGAAAACTCAAGGACGGTGGTATGCATTTCCGGTGATCATGAGTCGAATTGGAAAGACAGCATCACCTACGTCTCTCTCCCCACGCCTTCACGCAATATTTTACAGTTTTCTGTGACAAAAATCTCCACCTGTGATTTGCACCCTGCTCTGTGGCGTTGGCAGATTTTTACGCTGAAAGTGTTTAGAAGTGAACTTGGAGGACGCTGGCCTAGACGTCAGTGTGTTCACGCAATCGGCCACGATTATACGACAGACACTTGGCGAGTAATTGGGTAGCGCTTTCAGGTCTGGTTATTTAAAAAACTGAATGACTAACAGGCATCTGTACAGTTATGCGCTTGTCCATCATGATATATGTGGTTCGGATACATTTTCTCCCGAAACCCTCTTGACTGTACAATTTATGCCTTCTCGACAAGTCGATCAACTCACGCCGTTGGGTGTCGTCCAGCTGAGGATCGCTTTCACCCAAAGTCGATTATTTTGAGAAGACTTTAAAAATTCGGCACAGGTACTTTTATTTTTTCGACTTGGATGATATTTTTTCAGTTGTTAGGGTCAGGACTCCTTCGAACATGCGTTTTTTCCTTATAAGCCTCAGAATCGGGAGCCTTTTAATACTGCACGTCTTATATCTATAAAACTCAAAAAGCATCTGTCTTCCCATCAACATACGAGCTTCGCCAAAAGCTGTACATATTGCCGGAAAGACCATTGACACTCCGGCCTTTCTTGCGACCTCATCTTATGAAATATTGACCTTTTCCCTCTTAGTTGGAACAACCCAGCCTCATGCAACAACCACTTGCCATGGGCTACTACATCTCAACCGCGCCCACTGGTCCGATGCCTGCCTGGTTCTGGTCAGCCTGTCGGCAAACGAGCCAATCGAATCCCGTGTGTCTGAAGTCTGCTCTTCACCTACACTTAACTCTAGTCGGCAATGATGACGCCGTGACCACCGACACGGCTGTCTCACCCGGCGTGGCTGGTGGTTCAGACGGCAGTCGGGGCTATGCAGGCCACTTACTGGACTCAACCGTCACCTGCGACGTGTTGCGCTTCGTCTTGGAGTCCTACAACAGCCTCTCCTGGCTAACCTACGACCCAGTCACCAATGACCGTCGTAGCTGTCTGCCCTTCCACATACTCGCACTGGCTCAACTTTCTCAGGCAACAAGGATATTCACGTGACACCCCTGCGTGCGCCTACGAAACCGCTTCTGTGCGGACTCGCTCAATCGGCAGCGACCTTTTGCGACTGATTTTTTTATCCCGCAGACTCGCATTTGTTTTGCTGGCTTTGCGACCGACCTCCAATGCTAGCGATTTCATACTTTTGCCCTCTGGCGCGTAGGCCTGGCTTCTTTCTCTTCTATTTTTTGCTCTTCGTACGGTGTGTCCACATGTATAAACTTGCATTATTGCCGAAACCTGCAGCTTTGTCCTCTCTCTCTCGCCTAGTCCCCCGTCTCATGCACGGACACTAAAGGATTTTTTGTATGTGTGGCCGCGGTCTCTGCTCAGGTTGACATTCGAGGTCGGCGTCCTCATCTTTCTTCTCCCCCCGTCATCTTACCTCAACCTAGCCCTTCCTGTTGTTATCTTGTCAGTGCTTTTGCTAAATTTCATCAGTGATCTCATTGGCCCCCGTCATCTCCCCCCCCCGTTTGTGTGTACGCGCCGGCGCGCATTTGTACATTCCAACACACCTTCCCCGCCTCCACACACCAAACTGCTCACTTGCTCCTCGCCGACTATTGCACACCTCATCTGTCTCCCCCCGCCCCGCGCAATTGCTTGCTGCAGATTTTGTTGCCATTGCAGTCGTTGTTTGCTACCTCTGGCTGCGGACCTTTGAGAATGAGACCACTCCTCCCTCATCTCCGCCTCACGCCGCAGTTGGGCGACAACACCCGACTGCGGTGCGGTCTTTGTTTTATTCACTGAGACACATTATGTACACACCCCACTTAAATGATGAGCATTTCGTTCACCTTTGTAGCCGACTCCTTCTAGACTAGTCGAGGTCTTTCTTGAGTCCGCGTGCTGCGGAGACGGCGGTTCCAGAGGAGGGAAGACTGAGGTCCGTGATCTGGATTCCCCCCAACTGCTGGCAGTTTTAGCTGCCGCCCAATTAGGTGAAGAGTGCGAGGCGATGAAGGACCTGGGCATGCCCTAGGCACCTGGTTGGATGTTCTTACTATTTCATCTGAATGGAGCTTTACATTAAGGCGTTAAACGGCAGCAAATCCGATAAACCACCAAGGCAGTTTTTGGCTGCGTGTAGTTCCTTTCGCTGTGTGTTAAGGTATCAAGGTTGTGTGCCGGCCCAGATGCGGTAGATACTAGGCAAGCCCACTCTTACGATAAACTACCTCACGCGCAAGTCACCGTGCCTGCTCTCACCCTGCTGTGGACAATACGGTAGACATCGTCGACGACGACGGTCGAACTGTCAGATAGTGCGCGAATTACCTGCTGTGACCTTCGCTGAGCATGCGGATGTGTGTTACTGCCATTATACTTTGACATGCTTCACGTGACCTCTCAGAAAATAGGATTATTGGCAGTCTAGTGACTTTCAAAGCACCACTTCGCACTGTCGTGTGCCACTCGGAGTTTCAGACCAAAGGTAAGAAGGCGTTCCTTAGTTGAATGGCTTTCGAAGCGGCTGCGGACACTCACCGTCGATGGCCGCTGTGATTCTTGTCATTTTCGTTACTTTGCACGATTCCCTACAAATAGTCGTGGTCCTCTGTGCCACCTTGTCAGTCACTAGAAAACTTATGAGCTTACAGACGGGGTAGACTGCAACTATCGTGGGACCATGTCACTTTCGTCATTTCTTTCCATCGTTAGCACGTGGGGGGCTTAAACCACAGTTTTATAGGGGGGACGAATGTTCTAATCCCGAGGAAGAGGACTGGTCAGGCACCGGAACCATTTATCTATTTGTCTGGGCTTTCGAACTCGTGCAGGAACCCACTGTCAGGGATAAAGGCATCAACATGGCCGACGACGGCCACAGGGGGTGTTCGTCAATCAACGATCAGTGGCGCAGGCCTGGAGGTGCCTGCGCAGAACTGTGTACACGCCAAATCTCCTGTCCTGCAGCGCAAGTCTACCGGCACTATAAACCCCTGCGCAAGTCACCGTCCCTGCTCCCACCGCTGCTGCAGCTGTGGGGCACACGGTGGACATCGTCGAAATCGACGGTCGAACTGTCACACGCCAAATCTATACACTGATCAATTCGGTCCTCGTCTGAGACCCAGGCTCCAACCAGTTCTCAGCCCTTGGCACTGCGGCAGCTAAAGGGTAGGGTCTGGTTCCACTTATGGACACCCACCCTAGCCAAAATACCCCAGATCGTTGCCTTTTCGGGACTCATTTGCACCTTGTCAGCCAAAAACTACTCCACGAACTTTGCCACCAAAGTCTGTTCATTGAGGAAAAAACCAGCTTCGCTCAAGCCAACCACGCCAGGTTAGCGGTCGCCTAGAAAGACGACTATGTTAGCGGAACTACCGAGACTCGTCGATGGCGCCACCCTCTCACGGAATCCCCTCAAGGACGGAAGCTGCACAGTCGAGGCGCAAATAGACACCAAAACAGATGACTGGCCATGCTATTGCCAGCAGTCCCGACTATTTGACTCGGCTGGCGATGGCCCGCACACACTCATGGAGGACAATCTACTGCCGTAAATTTCGTAGGTTAAGACGACTTAGCCGACGAGAACTAATGTGTCGGCCGCCACACGCCGAAGGCCGAGTAGATTACTTTGACACTAATAATGGTCTACCCCGGCGGAGCAGAACCCTCCCCAGGGTGGTCCGTCTTTGCAGCAAGTTATTCGGACAACAACGCCTGGTCAATAGTTGTGCACCTGCATAGCTGGTCCCGTAAACTCCCTCTAACGGCCGCCGTGCTCCTTTTCAATCAGACAGTTTGCCAGACTGGCGGGTCGCCGACAACTCAGAAGGCTGCTGTTTTGATCATGCATATGACAGCGGGCACTCCCAGTGACGGCCCGCCTTACCGCGACCACTACCGCTCCAACTGGTCGTTATGGAGGTCAAGGACAGCAGCAGCGAAGCCCTCATTGGTATGGAAACCGTTCGCAACTTTCCTCACCCTCAAAGAAACTGGCCCCAAGACGGAAGGATACTGTCTGAGCCTACGTAGCAGGCTTCATGCTGAGCTTCAGCCACTACTCGGGACTTCCGGAGACAAAAGAATTGGCGCACTGCAGACTTCGAAATCCAACGCATTCGGTTGGTGAAACGCATACCAAGTACGTCTTCTCCTGCAATTTAATGATTACTCGTCTAATGTTGGGCTTGTTTCTAACGGACAAATCGGCATTCTCCGCTAGCGAAAAACCGCATTTATGTGGCTCAGCTATGACGCCCCAAATAGCATTTGGAGCTCTCGAACTGAGCAAAGCCCAAGCATAAGAATAGCGGCAGGATGTATTTAGAAATCTTTATTTGGGGTTTAATTAACGCACTAGCATCCCAACCGACATTTTCGTCAGGATACTTTGCAACATTCCAAGGTTCTCACTCGATGCCGCTTCCAGTTCAACATCAGAGACATCGTAGGCCGCACATATTTTCGGCCTATTCGCGATAGTGGACAAGCAAGTAATTTCTTCCGGTTCGGCTGACAACGACTGACAGATATCGTCCAGCCTCACAATTTCCTCCCCTACCATAGAAATAACGACGAATAAAACATGCTTGGTTTCCTGGTTAACACCAAAAACGGTAACAGCCTCGTTTATGGAGTGGCGAGGATGTAAACAGGCCAGAAACTCAGAAGAGAAGGAAGTCTTCCCCTGAGGTTTTCGTGAGGCCCTATTCGCAAGTGCTTGCACAGCCGCTGCTTCTACCTGTGAAAAGAACACACTAAGCACTGTGAATGGTCTCAGTAGGGACGGTACAGATGTACGGGGGGTTGGAGCCAAGATATTCTCCCAGCTCGGTAACCCCCGAAAGCTATTTAGTCCACTGCGTAGGCTCCGTCTAACAACGGAACTTTAACCATGGACAGTGTAACAAGAATTGATATAAGTACCTGCGCCTCATTGACAATGTACTCAGCGTTGACCATCACGGTGGTGTCTGGACGAAGTTGTAGTTTTCCCGACTGCAAAAGCTCGTTTACCTCTAAAGGTGAGGATATGCCATTTACCAAGGCTAAGTTCAGGCAGTGTTTTGGAAAGAGGACGGGAACTATTTTGTGCCAATCCTAGACAAAAATGTGTCATCAGTCAATTGTGATGAACCAGAGGGCACGAGAGAAAGACAAATGTAATATAAGTTAACAGGATTTATGTACAAAAATATACAGTCATCACCGTGTCAGTCGATTGTCTGCTTTGGTGTAGCCCACTCCAATTTCAAAACGCGGGAATTTAGTTCATGTCTCTTGGAAAGAGCTTTCTGTGCATTTTCAGTCGTTCCAAAGTCCAGAATCGCAAACCTGCAAACACAGAGGTAGGATGATTTAATAAACGCCAAATGGGTGTGGAGGCATGGCATATCGACTCTGAATATTCCATGTAGCACGCTGCTCCACGGGTCAATCTTGCGGCTGCCAGTTTAATCTGTTGGACAACAACAGAAATCCGGGCACCGCGAATAAGGGGAAACGTTAGGTATTTTGTGCGGTCAAAGAGAAGTTCAAGTCTGACCAATAATTCTAGTCCATAAGCGAAACTTTATGCCCACTGGCATAAAGGATTAGGATGGACAGAGGCTAAGTCGCCCAGGCGCATTTATACAAAGAAAGGTTATCACATGAAAGCTTTGAAACTAGCGCAAAATTGCGGATCTCAATTGGTACGTGCATTAATTTTGGGTCGTCAGGCAAAATACAGTCGAGACATCAACCTACCCCCTGCACCCATGCCTTTTCTTTGGCATGCTTACGAGTTTTGCGTTCTTGAACAGTTCCTTTACTTGATCTTCCTTTGCGGTTCTTCCCAGATTCTTGACGAAGACACGGCAAGTTGACGGGCCCTGTGGCACGGGCCGGATATCAGCTTCGTCCCCCACACCGTGGCGCCGGAGATAGACGACTTTAAGCTGTCTGCCCCTGAACTTGGCTGTCAACGCATTTTTCTTGTCCAGTTTGCAATCCTCCACTGTTCCATAGCGTAGCTTTGCGAATCCTCCAAGCGGGTATATTTCGATGGCTTCTGCTTGTGGGAAAAGAGCTCGAACCTCAGATTCCTTTGTGCACTTTTTCAATCCGTACACTACAAGACCTTGGACAGACCTAAAGACATAAGGCAAAACAAACACAAACTTTGGCGATTTTTTGCGTTCAAACATGACGGATACGCGGCGACCACGGACAACACAACCATGCTTTTCGTCAAACGCAGAGATGGCCTCAGCGGGTGTCCCGAAGGAAATAACCGCAGCACCAACCTCATACTTGAAACGTCCCGATTTGTTGACATCTTTCATGATAATGCCTGTGGCGTTGGGGAAGTGTCTAGTCAGTTCTCCTTTGCCGGTCTTCTTGTGCAGATTGGAAACGCGAATCTCAAGAGGATTGTATTCATCTACGAGGGTCAGCTTTTAAAATGTCCTACCGGGGTCCTCTGAATTGAACTTCCCTAAAGTCGCTTTAAGAGTCCTTTCCTTGTACGACATACCCTCCAACCTACGCTGGTTGCTCAGAGCTGACTCGTGAGAACTGAACTCTAGAAACACCGTCCTTGCAGGCCGATGGGAAATCGCAATATGCGGTATGCGACAGGCCGCCATGTCAGGGGCTAGGCTCAGCAAGGATAGGTAGTTGTAGCCCTTAGGAAGGCCCTCGAGCTTAACAGTGCACAGATTGCGAGTCGTCAGTCTTTCGCAAAGGGCATCCCGAACTAAAGGATTCCTCAGGGCAGTTCGGGACGTCTCAAGTCCTGCTGTATCTTCTGTCCAAACTTCACGAGCACCCGCGAGGGCACACTTCGTAACCGTCTCTCTGCTAGTTTTGGTGTCTTTCTCGCCCAGCACCTTTCCACGTAACCGTTTGGGCTTCGAGGGTTTCACGTGACCATCATCCTAGCAAGGACTAAATAATAAAACGACAGCATACATCACTCTCATCTTCCTGCAACATCAATTAGTATTTTCGTAACACCTACCAGGAGACGCTCCAACTGTTCCCGGCCCACGCGACCGCGCAGACCCATGGCGCCGAGGGACCGCTTCGGCAAGACTGACTTAAACAACTGTCTCAGTGTTTCATTTTAAACTCAAGCTCGCAAGGCATTCATGTACTCGCACATTCGCTGACTCCTGAATATCTTAGTATGCTTTTGCAAAAATGTACATAGATATGAAGGTTCAGCTTAGCAGTTGAGTTTTAAGTCTGAATCTCCGTTGGAATAAGACTTATCGAAAAGGGCAGAACGATGAGCAAGGTGCCCAGTATATGAAGGTTTGGTCTGAATTCAGTAAATTGTAAACATGCACAGAGGTCAGCAGTATAAGTTGCGGAAACTGTAACTTTCCACACTATCCTACGCATTCGAAGCAGAAACTTGTGGAAAGGGCCTAAATTGAAGGAAATGCAGCCAGTCGGTAGATAGTATCGTCAAAGGGGGTGTCGTATAAAGGAAGTTACAATAAAAGCAGACTAGAGTATACTGAGCAAATCAGAGTAACACAAAAACTAGGCAAAATGCCAAATCTAATAGAAACCGTTTTTTATTCTCTTGGTTTTCCTCGGCGTTTTGTCTTTTAAAAAAGATTTACAAATGTGTCCATAGTTTGCGTGAGTGTGAGGAACGTATGCATATCGACGTAGAAAATGGACGAAGATATCATTGTGCTAGGTTGTTAATTCTCCCTCAAACAAGATCGTGTCCTTTTCTAACGATCAACCAAACACAGGCCATTGCTATTTATTAGAACTACCTATTCTGTTTAATACCGACTCATTTTTGCGTATAATTTTGGGTAGAAGAAGCAACAAACGAATAAGTATATCAAGTTTTTTTTATATTTGGGATCCGTACCACCTTTGACATGTCCTTATTATTCAATCCTTCGTCGCCGTATTATGGCGCAATGGCCTCCGTGATCTTCAACTTCCTCTATCCGTGCCGCTCCAAGGCGAACTAGCGGCCTTCGATGACTCTTCATCGTTTTCCTTTCCGGTCACTAAGTCCGCAGTCAGCAGACAACTGCCGCTCATCTCTGTTACGCTCGTGGGGCAGAATGACAACTCAGTTCCACTTTGCTCCTCCGACCACGAGATCGGTGTTTTTTCCCTGGAGTACCATGTTACTTTGATCTCTACTGAAAGGTAAATGAACACGGACTGATCTTGCCAAAAGGTAAAAATATATATCTACGTGCACCTTTCTGGCATAACCAGCAAACGCCAGAACTCGCAAAGGAAAGTTTCGATTTCTTAAAAGGTCTGTTGGAATCGTAAGGGTCTTGACCTGAGGACATTCATAGACAAGGACGAAAAGCTTGACGTCAAAGAAATCATGGACGTCACTTAATAAAACATTCTGCAGTCGACCTGCTCACTATTGAGACGTTGTTGGTCGTTGATCTGGTCATAATTCTTCGAGTAATCCATTCTGACATGCAGTCAAGTCGTAGAAAAATCGATCAAGCATAAGTGGGGGGTGCTTCTCAGATAAGCTTAACTTAAACCCGCATCACCCAAGAGGTCTGTTGATTCATTAGCGTCCTCGAGTGATGTGGGGCTCGGGTGCGAACTCACCTGGAAAAGACAACCTTCCAGAATTTCAGTATATATACGGGAGATAGGTATAGCCTTTGAAAACCCTATTTACAGTCAGAGACTAAAAAAAACGTGCACATGTATGCGCAGATGTACGGTACATTTTTTCAGTTCTTATCAAGTAAGCATACGGCTGTCATATAAAATGTTATCAAGTCTTCGTTTACATGTCTGAACGCATTCCGCCGGAGATAAGTCATTAGTGCTAGTGAAAAAAATCGGCTATTTAAGTGCACAGTTTTCTCCTCTGACGAGTTAGAATACCATGAGCATGTCCTCTCTATATTGGCTATAAGAGGGAGGGAAAAGATTGAGCCTTTCTAGTCCTTATCCATAAGGTAGGTTCTTCAGTCCACCGACTAGTTTAGTCGCTCTTCGTTGCACCTGCTCCAAGAGAGTGTAGCCTTGCTTCACCCAGGGGCGCCACGCTTGAATATCACATTCTAAAATCGGCCGGAAAAGTGTCCCAAACAGACGACTGAAAAGCTCTTCGTCAAAGTTAAGGAAGGATCTCGCGATCGCTCCCAGGATGCCCATGGCCTTCTTTGCTTTTTTGCCGCAGTGAGACGAGGGCTTAAGAGTGGAAGTCATCTTCATACCTCGTTCACAAGTTCGAGTTCGTGACCTCCGATCAAATACTGATAGTCAGATCTCAAATCCTTTCTGTAAGTAGAACTTATTTGGATGAATTGGCATTTTTGGAAACTGAGGTTAAGAAGCTTTTCATCACACCAATGTTGCAGTCGCTCCAAGTTTTTTTGCAAGTATGGCGCGTCCTCTGGCTTTTCCATCGAACCCCACATCTTCAAATCATCAGCGAACATTACCTTCTTGCAGGTCAGACAGTCTAGGCAATCGTTCACATATATTAAGAACAGAATGGTACCCAGAACGCTCCCCTGCGGAACCTCGCTCTGAACAGTTTCCCACTCTGATTTGGCGTCACTAATGCACATACGCCGGCGTCGGCCTGTGAGGAAGTCTGTCAAGCACTTAAGTAGGTTACAAGTCACACTCATTTGACGCAGTTTAAATATGAACCGTCTGTGTGACACCACACCAAAGGTTTTGCTAAAGTCAATGTAGACTGCATCCACTGACAAACCCATCTTCAGGGATTTCGTCCAGCTTTCCATAGATGTGAGCAGGTTAGTGAGACAGGATGGACCACCTCTAAATCTACATTGATGCGCACTAAGTAAGTCGCTTTCGCCAATATGTCCCGTCAGTTTATTTCAGTTTATTCAGTTTATTTGGTAAGGATAAGAGGCAAAGCCTTTGATAACCCTATTGATTACATGTCAGCTCGTTAGAAATAACTGTACAGGAACAATAAAAATATTCACCATTAAACAGTACTTGATTCATTAGGGTAGCATTATATCAGAGAAAATATTTGGGGGTCGTGGAGTATTAGTTCAGATCCAGACTGTCGGGGGAAAACAGGGAACACAAATAATTATCCAAGCGTTTCTTGAAGAGTTGCAGAGACGTAGCCTCCATGACTGACTGAGGGAGATCTTTCCATTTCTCCACTACCCTCTGCGTGAAAAATTCAGAACGAATATTCAGCCTGGACATTGTTGTCCGTAACTTCATCGAGTGACCACGAAGATTGGGTGAAAGGTGCCACTGAAACATGTCCTTAAAGCTAAGTCCATGCTCAAGGCCATGTATTATCTTGTAGATGAGGATAAGATCACCTCTTCGCTGCCTGTAACACAGAGGGAATAAATTAAGGCAATTCAGTCTGTCTATGTAGGATTGGCTTTTTAGACCGTTTAACAGCTTTGTTGCACGGCATTGTACCCGTTAGAGGCATGTTTGGTCCTTTACTAGCCATGGACGCCATGCTTGTAGGCCATATTCTAAGTGGGGCCGAACGAAAGTGCCGTAAAATCCCTCCCAAAAGGTCTTGGTCAAAGGTTACGAAGGCCCTTTTGATTGCATGCAGCACTCCCATGGCGTTGTTTGCAGCCTTGTGGCACTGCAGTGTTGGTTTCAGTTTGTTCTGTATCCAAACCACGAGATCCTTCTGTGAAGATTCTGCAGGGAGCCTTATATCTTTCAGGTGATATGTCCTCAGGCTCTAATTTGAATGAGAGTTGGTTGGGTGCAAATGAAGGACGGCACACTTCTCCACATTGAAATCTAGAAGCCATTTCTCCGACCACGCTTGTAGTCGGTGCAGATTATCTTGAAGGGATCTGTGATCATTCGGACCCTTAATGACTTGCCAGAGCTGAACGTCGTCGGCAAAAATTATTTTGCCGCAGTCGAGTTCCTGAAGGCTGTCATTAACATGAAGGATGAAGAGCACTTGTCCCAGAACTGAGCCTCGAGGCACATCACCGGTCAAATTCACCCATTCTGACATACCATCTCAGATAGACACACGTTGTTTCCGACCAACCAGAAACGCCCTAATCCAGTCCAGAAGATCTCACCGGATGCCGATGGCGCTCAATTTGTGAAGAAGACGTTGGTGCGGAACAGTATCGAAGATTTGCGGAAAACGATGTACACGACATCGACCTCAAAACCCTCTTCTAGAACCCAGGTCCAGATCTCCAGATAAACTAGCAGACTCGAGAGGCAGAAACGTCCTCTCCGGAAGCCATGTTTAAAATCCTGCATGATACTATTTTCTTTACAAAATTGCTGTATAGCGTACTTAACTACAGCTTCCATCGTTTTTCATGGGAGGCAACTTAAGCTAATAGGCCTGAAGCTGCTTGCTCTCATCCTGCTACATCCCTTATGTAAGGGAACGAGGTTAGCCGTCTTTCAATGTGATTGCAGCCTTCCTGTTCTATTTGACAGCTCAAAGAGAGTCGAAAGAGTCTTTGACAGCTCCGTTGATAGCTCCTTAGGTACCAGCCCAGGAATTCCGTCGGGTCCATGAGACTTATCAGATTTTATTTGACTGAGGATGAGTCTTATTTCTTAGACAGAAAAGACAACGGTTTCAATGACGGCAATATCCTGGCGCATTTGAAGCTCCCGGCTGTCTCGGTCCATTTCAAACTGCTGATTGTCTTCTGAGGACTCCCCGTAAATCTGATTGAAAAAACTGAGACAGTAATCGCACTTTCTGTGGCCCTTCAACTAATAACTTTCCGAGGCTATCCTTTAGATACGCAATTTCGTCCCTATGTTTCTTATTGCTGCAGATGTACTCGTAAAACTTCTAGGGAAGTGTAATGGATTCTGCAATCATTCGGCGCTTGAAAGAAGTTCTAGCAACTCGTATTTGTGTGCGGCATTTATTGCGCTGATCCTTATATTCGACGAATGACTTTGGATCTCGAAGTTGCAAATACTTTTTCCAGAGTCTCTGTTTCTTCTTCATGGTCTTTTTTGTCGTCGGATGGACCCACGGCTGTCGCGCACATGGTCTTGTTATTTTTATTGGACAAGGGGAGTCAG